AAAACTACTTCCAAATCTGTTGACTAAAAATAAACAGAATATTCTTTACAGATTGAACAAATAAAACAAGTTGTTTCAAATTTTACCCTTACTCTTGCAAGAACCTGCTGACAAACACAAACCCTACATCGGAACATGACTATTTTTATTTTTATAGAAAAAACCAGGATAATAAAGACAAATGCATTTATACATCACTAACTGAAAACATAAGTTAAAGGTGACACAGCACAGTGGAAAAGAGCCAAAAGTCTTTCAGATACCAAAATACTTTGTCCAATGGAAATTGAATCGCAGGTATATGTACCAAGTACAGGCAGGGATCCTTGTTTTTAATGTATATTTCAGACATTTTAAAAATAAATGCAAAGTTTCAGAGACAGGACATGCATTTGTTACACCAAACAAATGGCCAAGCTATTAAAGAAATCATAATTACCATACTCAAAAGTGGCAATTGATTTGATATTTTGTTTGTGGAAGTTATCATCTCAGTAAAGGCACTGAGAACCTTTAGTTACTTTTAGTTATATTCCTAAATGTCAGGAAAGCACAAGCTGGACAAGTAGAAAATGAGAACACAGATAATCAAGCATATTTAAGTGTGTATGTATATATACACACAGACACATAATTATTAAGATGTAACAAATCCAGCAAGATAGTAGTTAAACTTTAGCCAAAATTTAGGATCAATACCTCACGTGTCCAAGAACATGCGTCCCATTTTATGACCACAGCACCCTGCAACTATAAAGTGGGACATAGGGAAGTGGTGAATGAAGCAGCTTAATATTGTACCAACAGCTGTGCAGTGGTGTGCTGGTTTTGACTGGGATACAGACTGGTTCAGTACATCATGTAAGGAGTGTTGTATGCATTAAACACTGACATTTCTTTACACAAAAGTATTCCTGTTATGCCTTAGAAACTAATGTTTTCTCTGAAGGCAGAAAAGAGTTAATTATTATATTCTGAAATATATGAAAGAGTTTTAATTACCACCTAATTTGTCTTGTTTGAATTTACAAAGAATACTAATTTATTTTTGTCTGGTACATAAATATTTGGCACTGAATTAATCAGAGTACTGTTTTTGAAGCAAGTAGCTTCAGGGCTGTTACTCCTCCTAACATATACAGCCAGTACAATATGTGTGGAAAGTATAAACAGAAAGATAACAGAATCCATCTCATCCCTTCCTAGCTATGACTGTAGCATCCATACCAATTTGCTACAATCTGTTAAAAACTAATTATTAATTAAAAATCATTAATTTTAAAGTAACTAATTATTAACCCAGAAATTAAGAGCAGAAGCATTAGAGTACAATTTTGCCTACAAACTTGTGAGCAAACATTTAATTCTGAAAACAGGAATCAGACTCTAAATTACACATATTTTAGAAAAAAAACCACAAAACAAAAAGTTGTTTCTATAAGGTTACCAATCTTTTTTAATTTAAAGAAAAAAACCCCACAAGCTATTATGTAACTGAGTGTTTTATTTCACTGAAAACAGCAAGGAAATGATAACATGGTGACTAGGAAATGCAAGTTTTTCAGAGCAGACAAGGAAAAAATATACCAGCAACGACATTTCTGAACTTGCAGTGCTTCTCAAAACATGACTCACTTTCCATCCCAAGGAATATAATTTTGTGACAAGGTCTTTCCTACCTTCACACGGGGTGTTGCCCATGCTGCTTGATTCTGTATTTCTCCAGGATGACAGCTGGAGAGTGTCACCCCCTGCTGCTGAGACCCAATTCTCTACAGGTCTGTATGCATCTGACTCCTCAGAGACTACAGGACTGCAGCTACCTGGTATGGTATCGTCCTCCTCACTCTGGGGGAAGCCTCAAGGACACCAGCTGATTTGTCTGTGCTGTGCTAACCAAGCAGAAGCTGACCCTCTCTACTGACTGTTTTGCTCAGCCTGGATTTAACATGTGCAGGAAACACTATTTTTGCTGTGCTAATGGGATTGAAGCCTGAAAAAAGAGAACTATTACATATTTTGCATCTACTGCCACAATCTACTTGTCAGGTTTATTTTGTATATCATGCACATTCCTCTCTTCTTAGTGATAGATCTTATATTATTTTAAATTAGATTTGAAGAGAGGCAGTTTGTCATTAGATAAAGTGTTATAATTGCAAAATACACACCAGCTTTCAGGTCCATAAGCTTGTCTTTTAAATGCTACAACATTGCATAACCAGTAAGAAGCATAGCAATAATATACAATTATCTAATCAAGAGAATTATGGATCAATAGCACATAGATATTTATTTTGCTAAGCCTTAACTCTCCATTCAGTACGAGATGTTACTTAATATGTTTAAATAAGCTGATGATATTTTTCTACCATATGAGCTTCATCATTGTGCATGATGGAGGAAAAGAAGCACAACTATATCAAAGTAGGACAAGACTCAGCTATTACTCATTGCTTTAATGGCAAATATTTCTGCACATATATGTATAATAAACATACTTGGGTTGGTTGAAGTACTCATTTATGTAAACATTGTCAGGATACCTTTACTAGCCAATGAGCCAAAAAAAAAAATCTTCACTGAGCTTGGTAAGAGAGGTAGTTGACTATATAAGGAGGAGCAGCAATCTTTACAAAAGGAACCTGCAGTGATTTCAGCTCCTCATCCCCTTCTGAAAGGTTGTGGAAGGATTTGAGCAGCCTGAGTTTGCAGAAGACAGCTGGTGGCTGCTTAACACGTAATACTTTGTACTTGATCTCCTGCTTCCTCTACACATATATATATATATGCATATATATATATATTTTCTAAATATATATATTCCTCTCCTCATAGCTCTTCTAGAAAGTCCTCCAGAAGAAAGACTGTTCTCATGCCAGCACCACATTTGACAAAATTTTTTGAATGCATTCTTCACCCTAGGGCTGGGCAGCTACCTGATCCCTTGTGACTACATCCCTGCACTCAAAAGGGCAGCTGGAGTTACTGGGCTGGAAGAAAACTCCTTCCTTTCTCCTCCGCAGGCAGGCAAGGTGCCAGTTCCCTCCGAGGGCCTTCTGTGCTAGGGCAATCCCCACGTCAAGCAGCGCTGCTGTGCCGAGCCTTCTTTGCATCTGCTGTGCCGGCACAAAGAGGGTCACAGGCCAAGTGTGAGTCACAGCTTAAAATAGCAGTGGGCACAAGACTGCAGCACAAAATGTCGTACGGGCCAGTACGGAAAACAAAACTGGAAAAAACTGGCTGGAAAAGCAGTTATCTAAATGCAGCTCTTGTTAAGGTCAGACTGATGTTATAGTTAAAAAACTCTGGCATTTTGAAATAGCCCAAGCAGTGCAGAGCTAATGTAATCCTCCCATTTAGCTGCCTTGCTTTTTTACCTCCAAATAAAGGGTTATTTTCAATAGGCATTGCCATTAGGAATGAAAAGCAATCTGTAAGCAGGTAAAAATTATCTGTTTTACTCTGTTCTTGTCCAAACAACAGAGGAATGTTGTGGGCAATGCCTGTGCCAGGGAAGACAAGATAGTGTTCACATCCGAGGGGCTGACTAATGCCAGGGGGAAAGACAATAAGGTCCAAGGACTGAAACACAACTGCTACATACAAGACAGGCAAGAGAGATGTGTCCTAGGGGAAGAGTGCAAAGGAAAGGTGTGCTATAGGGAATAACTAATAAGGTCAGGAGAGAACACAGGGAACCAGCAGAGACAAGTAAGAGCAGTGATTGGGGGAAAAAAGGCTGAAATCTCTTGGAGTTACTGAAGAGTGCCATTGCCAATGCTGCATGGGCTTTGAAACACAATCAAATGGGAGAGAACAGTGCCTGCACTTGTCTTCTGCCTGTAATCTTTGTAATATCGTTTCCGTTCCGGTGAGTCACAGGTGCCAGCTTCCAGGGAAAGGTGGGGGAGATGGCTTCACCCACCCTGGCAGCCTGCGCCTCGCTGTAGCCACACACCAGCAAGTCACCACCCCCTTGGCTCCCCGGCGCTCCAGTCTGGGTAATGTTGGGCAGTGAGGCTTTCCCTGGCACGCCCGAAGGAAGGCACTAGGGGTGGGCCAGCAGGCACTCAGGCCCGGTGCTGACATGGCAGTTCTCCCTTCTTGCCCTGGGCCTTCCGACAGGGAGAGCAAAGATCGCAGCAATTTGTGTCCTCACTTCGCTTCCATCGCTTCCGTTCCAGGTGTAAGCCTGTCCTTGTAGGGCAGAAATAAAAATGTTTACTTCTCTCAAAGGATTGGGTTTGCGTCTCTGGAACAGCAATTACTTATTTACAAACCGTAGCCAGCTTCCTTGTGAAGTGCTACGTCCACCACCGAGGAACATGGACCGTCACATAGGGGCTGGGTTGTGCGTGGGCAAGATCAGTGCTGGGGACGAGCCCATCGCCATTTCAGCTTCGAACACACGTTGGACTTTTATTGTTGTTTTATTTACAGTTTTACTTTGCGGGCGTGTGACGGACGGAATTACACAAGATGTGCCACTACAAGACTTATATACCCATAACATCACCACGCCTAAGGCTGAAACAAGTTTAGGTATTCCCTTAAGGTGACGGAATTCGGGACAGGGTGACGGAATTTGGGGAACAGGCGTTTGTGGTGGGATGCAGGAAGGAGGGCTGCCCCAGGCCGATACCACCTCGGGGCAGGGGGAGGGAGGAGGGGGGGTGTTCCCTCCCCCTCCGAGAACAGCGTTGAGCAGCCCCATCCGGGTACTTGGCCTGCGGGCAGTTACACGAGGAGTGATGGGGAGGGGGAAAGGAGGGAGGGAAGAACATAGAAGTACGGCCCAGATTCCTGGCGTGGTGAAGGCTCGGAGATGCTCCAGATTTCTGTCGTACTCCACCTTCTGCCTCTTCCGACAAGGCTTGCCAGTGGCCACGGAGGCTGAACTCTTCTGCCGCGAGCACACGATTCCCCCCCCCCGGAGACGCAGGCGTTTGGTACGCGCCGGCAGAGCGGTCAGGGCGGCGCCTGTGTGACTCAGGCGCTGCCATTTTGAGGGGTCGGTGGTGCCTGCGCAGCTTGGTTTGGCGCTCGCTCCGTGCCGAGGCACAGGCGCTCCCGCACCCTCCCGTCCGCTCCTGCCGTCGCCTCCGAGGACGCCTGGGCGAAGAGCTGCTCTCCTCAGCCCTTCTATCCTTCTCCTGGCCGTACGCGTAGTCCTCCACCGCTTCTCCGGAATTTCTATGCCCGCCGCCCTCCTCCGTAGGAGCCGCTAGCGCAGGGACCGCGTCCTCCTCCTCGTTCCGCCGCCGCCTTCGCCTCTTCCTCCTTCTCCTCTTCCGCTCTCCGCCACCATTTCCCCACTCCCCGGACCCGGGGCGCTGAGCTAGACTATGGGGACCAGGTCGGGGCCGAGCGGCGGCAGAGCGGGCGGCCCGGTCACCGTGTCCCCTGCGGCAGGGATGGGGGGGCTCCGCGGCTTCGTGGCTTTATCTTGACATGGCTCCTCTCCGTGCTGCCAGCAGCGCCGCCGCCTCCTCCTCCTCCACTGCTCCTCCTGCGCCCGCCGGCTGCGGGTAGAGAGCGGCCACGGCCCCGGGCTCTCGTCGGAGCCTCTCAGTCTCTTGCTTAACTGGGGGGGGGAAGGTTTCGGGAGGGGTTCCTTTTGTTTTGTTTTTGGTTTTCCTTTCTTTCTTCTCCTTTCTCTCCAGACAGAGAAGGGAGGGGAATACTTTTTTCCCCCCTCCTCTTCTTAACCTGGTCCGACGAATTGCTTAACCTAAAAACTTTTTAACCCCGACTAATCAAACACCTGTGGTGGGGGAAAAAAAAAATGTCTGGAGAGAGGAAGAAAATAACCTGATAATTGGGGATTTGCTTTTTTTTTTTTTTTTTTTTAAGGGCGAGGGAGGGTGTTTTAGAGGTTTAAAATTGCAACGCAGATTTGCAATTGAACAAACCTTGCAAAAAAAAAAATATTCACACTGAAAAGCAGGAGCAAAAAAAAAAAAAAAAACCAAACCACTCCATGTTTCCCGAGTCGTGGCCATGAAGTGAGAGGGGAGAGACGCGGTGCTGCTGTGGGTGTCCCGCCGCCCCGGGCGCTGCCGCCCTGTTTGCTGAGAGGGGCCGAAGGGAGAGCCAAAGAGCGCCGGCCATGCACAGCCTCGGCTGACCGTGCTCGCAGCCGCAGAGAGAGAGAGAGAGAGAAGGATCCCCGGGGGATCAGCAGCCCAGGGAGTGTATGAGGTGTCGGGGAATGTAGGGCTCTCCCAGTGTTAGGGAGCCCGGGTTTGGGGCACCGATTCGGGTTTTAGTCGCTAGGTGAGATAATACTGTCCTTCGAACCCCTGTCTGCCCCTTGTCAATGGCCATCATGATCCCTCTCCTCTTTGGCAGCAGTAGCCTCAGGGCAATGATGAGCAGGATGAAGTTAGAAATGACTCCGCTGTCTTTTCTCTTTGCTCCCCTGCGAACCAGCGCTGTGTTGTCTGTAGTTGATTTTGTTGTTGTTGGCAGAGAAATGTCATACTTCCCGGGTTGTGCACTCTTCCTTTGCACCCTTTTCTCTGCTCTCCACCAAGTGTAATAATTCTAAAGAAAAAGACGGGCAACATAGCAATAGTGGAAGGCTGAGAATAATAATCAGTAGAGTCATGAATCTGGCTGGGGTAAAACGCAATTTGTAATTTCAGCTTCGGGTTTTTTTTTTTGTAAGCAGAGCAAAAGTACCCCCCCATGGATTGGGCTTGTGCCAGTTGCTTTTTATTGTACACATAAATTGTGATAAGATTTGTTTGGGGCTTGTTTTTTGGTTTTTTTCTTTCATTCTTACCCCATTATTCCTGCGGCTAAACTGTTCAAATTTTTGTCTTCAAAATTCTTCGGGTTTTTTTCTTGGTTTATTGTAAAACCTCTTGTCCAGGCATGGCTGGACAACTGCTTACTTTGTTTCCTGACCCCTCCAATACGACATTTTCTTAAAATATTGCCTGAGGTGCGGTTTTGGGTTACATTAGCGTTTGATCTATTCAGTCGTATTAGCAGGAATCAAAACGACTTGTTTCTGTTGTACTTGAGTCTTACGAAAAGGTGCCCATAGTTTAGCGACAGTTTCCAAAGGCTTTAGTACCACCTGTATTACAAAATGGGGGACCCAAACTCCCGGAAGAAACAAGCTCTGAACAGACTTCGTGCTCAGCTTAGAAAGAAAAAAGAATCTCTAGCTGACCAGTTTGACTTCAAGATGTACATTGCCTTTGTGTTCAAAGACAAGGTAACTTGGTTTTAATGTGTCTCTCTGTGTTGTCTGTTGCATGTTAAGTGTACTGTGCAAAGTCTTGGTGTCTGATTGCATCAAACGTTTTATCCTTGATAGATTCCGTTGACTTCTTAACATTTATTGTTTTAATCGCTAATTGCTATAATATTTACTTAGTTCGTGTTTGCCATTTCGGCTCTTTGTAGGTTGTAGTTTTGTAACGCAGAGGTTGCCGGTGCGCAACCATTAAATGGTTACTTGGTAACTTCTGCATTGGGTAGATATTTTTCAAAGTTAACACTGTAACTTGTTAACTGTAATTGGGCTCTAACTTGCACCATTGTTGGCTGTCAGCGTTTGAGTTGTGAAGGGAGAGCTGGCTGGGGCGATCGCCGAGTTACTGCTTTTATCTGGTGAAAGCAGAAGGGAGGACTTGGCATTTGAAGGGAGGAGTCGCAAAATGGGATGTGGAAATGGCCCAAGTGCGCACGCATATGTGAAAGTGCTTCTACCATTTTGAAAGGGAGCGGGGAGGGCACAGTGGAAATCTCCATTTGCGTGGCTACCTCTGCCGCTGGATACTGTGCATCCGGGTGGGGAGCCGGGTGATATTTCTAAAGCCAGCTACAGACCCACAGCTGTAGGAGAGTTTCCATCTACAGACGGTGAAGAAAAGTAGGTGCTTGTAGGAAGTGAATGCGCTGAAACAATGATGAGGAAGTGAAGAAAAAAGCAAATGGCATAATACACGAAATGCACGTAGATGAGCACTGGAATTGTTTAATCCCCTCAAATGTACAGTTTTTTTGCATTCACTGTAATAATTATGTGTTTTTAGTAAAGACTGGTTCCTGAAAAGCTTTGAAAATCTTTAAAATTTCTGAGTTCCATATGCTTTTGTTTGTCAGTCCTAGTGCAAGCAGAGGTGGATATGTGTGGATATAATTTCAGGGTGTTGACTCATAGTAATACAGATACGAATGTAAGCAGTGCCAACAGATTTTCTTAGATGACACAAGTTTAACGCTTTTAGTTGAACAATTCATACAACTGTTTGGTTGCTTTGTAGAAATTTGTTGCAAATTCCTTTGCTTATATCATAGTGAACTTGAAGATGTCCATCCCATACCAGATCGCTTAAAGTAGGGGTTTAGGCTAGCTTGGTCAGCAAATAGTTGCCTGCTATGTATGTTCTGATGAGGGGGGAGTGGAACATTATTTGGTAAAATATGCTTTGTCTGTTATGTAGCTCTTAAGTAGGTCAAGATTTCTCATGAGCTGTAAGAAAACTGTTAGAAACAGAAATACAACTTCAGGTGATTTTATGTACAGCAAAAACTTATTTCACATTCTCATGATGTTTCGGCCTTGCTTGAGATACTGCAATATTTGTAGTGAGTACAGAAGTTACTTAGCAAATTAAAATAGTCCTTCCTTGGGAGGATTATAGTTTATAGCTAACTTCAGATGGGATCTCAGTCACCTGCTGTCACCAAATGTGGCATTGAAAGACTTCACTTTTCATAGAAGACCAGCTATAAAAAATTGAAAAGGGAGGAAAATAGGTATTACTTGATTGGCAAAGGGAAGCTTGCACAGGGCTCTTGGTCAGCCCAAAGTCAGGTACTCTACTTGATGAAGCAGAAATTCTGTTAATGTTTAGGTACAGCTTTAATGTTTCCGAGATTAGTACGCAAATCTTTGGAGACTACAAAAATGTGTTCAACTTTTTATAAAAGTTGTTGGTCTGATTCAGTTTCATTTATAAATATTTGCATGTAAATTTTAGTGTGGTTTGTGTCAAAGTCCTAACCTGCGTGATGTGAACTTTATACATTTATAGAGAAAGGAGGGAAGTCTTTATGTAAGCTGTGATTTTTTAATTTTTTTTTTAAGAAGAAAAAGTCAGCGCTTTTTGAAGTGTCTGAAGTGATACCAGTCATGACCAATAATTATGAAGAAAATATCCTGAGAGGTGTGCGGGATTCCAGCTATTCTTTGGAAAGTTCCTTAGAGCTTCTGCAGAAGGATGTAGTACAGCTCCATGCACCCCGCTACCAGTCTATGCGCAGGGTAGGTCTTTTTACACTTGCTGAATCTTATTCTTTCAACACTTGTGCTTTTCTTTGTGAATCTTAAGGCTAATCCTGCCTTTTTTCTATCTTCTCAACACATTTGCAACATAAGGGTTCTTCAGCCTTGTGTTTTTGGGGTCTAGTTTGAAGGGTAATAAGAGCATATGTGTTTTAAAACAGTTTAAATATACAATGCTTAAGCTTTATCTTTCATTTATCTCATTCAGAGATAAGCCTTGGGAATTGCATCTTCTTGCCCTCTTTGTCCTTTAGTAGGCATGTGTTTATAATTTTTACAGTGCTCCTGTTGTACAACTAAGTGGGTTTGCTTTATGAATATTGGAAGGTAGACAGTCTTTGCTAATGTTTTCTTAAATTTGTAATTTACATTAACTGGCTACTGATACTAAAATTCAGTGGAAGGCAATGAAGACTTTAGTTGTGCTACGAGTAATACAAATGGAAAATTACATAAACATCATAATAAGTACCACCTCTAAATTATGTGCCTGTACAGATAAGTTGCTTATTTCTGTCTTTGATTATTGAAGGGAATATAAATACAGAATTTTACCATTCACAGGATGTGATCGGCTGTACCCAGGAGATGGACTTCATTCTATGGCCTCGCAATGATATTGAAAAGATAGTCTGTCTCCTGTTTTCTCGGTGGAAGGGATCTGATGAACCCTTTAGGCCTGTTCAGGTATTTGGTTTTGGTTTTTAACTTCAAAAAGTAACTCACTCCCGGAGGGGTTGATAAGTGCTCTCCTTAACCAGTAAGCTGATAAGGTATGTGACTTCTGTGGCTATTAGAAAGTATGCTATTTTTATTTATAAAGAAGTCAGTGTTTTGAATGCCAAATTCTGCCTCCTGTCTTTATGCACTGTTATATTAGTCCTTCCAAAATTCAAGCTTCCGAAGGACCTTTGCAAACGACATGTATTTAGAAATGCACACAGTGTGTTTGTATTTCTAGAAGTGAGTTAGCCTCCTAGTACAAATGAATCTTTGTGTAAATATGATGGTGTCATTAAGGTTCTGTGAGCATCCCAAGTTGCTGTATTTGATTGGATGAAAGAGGGTCTGAGATGGATGGAACCTTTGCATTATAATTTTCCTTAGAAATTGATGCACAGGGATGTTCTGGCACAACAAGGTAAATTGGGTATTATATCTGCAGTTGAAGTTGTACCTTTGAATTGTTGTACCTTGAATATGTCATTGTAATGACTAATGTCAGTGTTGGCAGAACGAAACTCGGGAATTCTTTAAATGGTGCCAAGACTCAAGTATGTCGTTGGTCCCCAGTTTCTGCTTTTCATAGATCAGAAAAGGAAAGAAACTAAAGTGGTTGTAAAGCCCCAGATTGAAAGAAATTAATATGTTACATGAGCTTTATCTTAATAAATATTTTACTCCCCTCCCTCACACCATGTAGGCCAAGTTTGAATTTCATCACGGTGACTATGAAAAACAGTTTCTGCATGTTCTGAGCCGAAAGGACAAGACTGGAATTGTTGTCAACAACCCTAACCAGTCAGTGTTTCTCTTCATTGACAGACAGCACTTGCAGGTAAGCTTCTTTTGTCCTCACCTTAACAAGTGTGTTTTAATCATAAAAAGCTTTTTCTACTTGGGAACATCAGTCATTTTGTTGGAAAATACTCAAGTAGAAAAATTGATCATGCGTTCATGATTGCGTTTTGGCAGTTTCAGAGGAAACTTACGCTATAAATAGGATTCATACACGCAAAAACTAACTATGGGCCCCACATGCATTCACATAGAATTAATGTTTTTGTATTAAAAATAAAATAAGTTCTAAAATAGACCTAGAAGTGTTCTGGAAAAATTAAAACATTGTTTTGATTTGGGTGATAATACAGAAATTATCCAAGTGAAGAATGAACAGAATAGCAAAACCATTTTATTCATTAGAGGTTGCAGACTAATTTTAAGTTCGGGCTGTTTATATGTATGAAACAGTGAATTTTAAATGTCTGTGGAGTCTGCCTATTAGTCCTGAGTTAACTTTTAGGTTTAATAGCTTTTCTTTGGGTTTTCTTTGCCTCTAGACTCCAAAAAACAAAGCTACGATCTTCAAGTTATGCAGCATCTGCCTGTACCTGCCACAGGAGCAGCTCACTCACTGGACGGTTGGCACCATAGAGGATCACCTCTGTCCTTACATGCCAGAGTAAGGTACTGGCCAGCAAAATGGGGAAGATCACAGAGTGCAGCAGTGGATTTTCACTTTCCTCACCACTTTATTCTTTCAGAATTTAGAAGAAAATGGACTCATGTTCAGAACACTATACATTGTGAAACTTGATCATCCTGGATTTTTTTAATCATTTGTATCTCAGAACTTTGCAATTTTTTTTTTAGATGTTTTCTGCATGGACCTTGTGAAAGAAAGGATGCTCTGCACACTTCTGCACTGCATCAGCATCTTGCTAAAATGTGAAATGAAGGGACTGTACATTGAAACAAATGTATCCGAAAGCACAAGGTGATCATTTGTGGTGGTGTTCCCATTTGTGCTGGTCATGCCCCCTAACATCTATAATGTTAACCATCAGTATTTGGAGGGTGAGAAGTGAATGTAACGGGTATAAAAGCCTTATAGCTTTGCTTTTAATGATTGTATTGAAGAGCACTATCACTTGTTTTAATGAACGAAAAAGTGGTTATTACAATAGGACATAAATGTGGGAAAGGAATCTTTCTTAAAAAAAAATGCATCTCATTTAATGTGTAGGCATTTTTTGCCTCTTTTGTTTTGCTTGGCCATGTCTAAGTTTACTGGCACTTTTGTTTTGGATCTCTTTCCCCAAGTTGCTGTGTAACTGTATGAAGGTATTCTTTTGAGTTGGATGCATTTATACAGATGAGGCAGACCTGGAGTCTGAAGTTGCTAAAGCAGCTCAAAAAAGGTAAAATAATAGCTGCAGAAACAATGTTGGTAGCGGATTATTTTTTCTTGAGAGTTGAGACTTGTAAACTTGCAGGTGAACTGTGCAGGAAATACTGGTTTCTAAAACATTTCTTATGGAAAACCCATAGAGGTTTTTTTTTTTTCTTTTGGAATAGACATTATAAACCAATGTAAAATAGTGTTTGGAGTGTCAAAAGTTGGTTCTGGCAGAACATTTTAAGATTGTGCAATTATAAAAGGAAGACTACTGTATAGTTTTGATGACAAAGAAGGCTCTGCTTAAAGGTTGAGTACTTTACTGGAATAAAACTGCATAAGCCTGCTCCCTTTGGGTAAAACTAGTGCTTACCTGTTTAAAACTTGTATTTAGCTTTTGTTTGGAATTGGAAAAAAAAATCGGAATTTAAATAAATTAGGTGAAAGATGACTGGTTTTATTTATGAAAATCCTATGAATTGAATTTCAATAATGTCTTAGGTCTTAATAGCATCCCCTATTGCAAACACTGAAAATGTACAGACTGCAAAATGTTTATGAAGAATAGCAAAGATTAATGGCAAAGGTGTTCTTCTGTGTGGGCCCTAAGTTTTGAAAGTACTTGCCAGAAATAATGGAATTACTTGGCATACTATTGTATTGGTACATGGGTATTTTTACTTCTTCAGTTACAAGTTCCTACAAGTTAATCTGAAGCACCCTAGAAACATACCACATAGGAGCTCCAACTTCACTTTCATAGATGCCATAAATTATAAAGAAATGTCTTGAAAATGCTGTTCTACAGAATGCTAAGACTTCCTAAAATATTTAGTAATTAACACACCTCCTAAAGTCACTGAAGATTTCCCAGCTTTAAGTGCCTCTTCTTTGAATGATGTGTAAGATATAATACCAAGGGTTTACGTGAAGCTTGAGATAGAAAACAAATTCCAGGCTCTTGAAACTTGAACATTCAAGACCCTACAAAACCTAAGTGCCACCCTTTGTTCTTAATTTGTCATCTTGGACACCATCTCACAAGAGTGAGAATAGGGCCATAGTTACCTTGGTTAGCAAAGCAAATGATGTAGTTCTTGCATTAGGAATTTTGGTTTTCTTCATTCTGATTTCTCTTAGCAGAAACCTCAAGATGTGTGCCTGAGTGGCTGTGTACAGTGCTTTTCAAGTGTCAGCAGTGGTACGATCCTTAGCTTTAATTCTCTGTATTACAGGAAACAACCCATTCAATGTAATCGTCTAAGACAGGCTGCTCATTTGTTCCCTGTGACAGTGATCCCAGATCAATAATACCATGCTTTCTTGGGAGAACCCAGTTAAATTAGACAAAACAAAAAACTGGAATACCAGTTTTGTTAAATGTAATCCGTTCTACCCAGCTAACAGACATTATGTTTTTGCTGTGCTATCGGATTGAGTTGATAGCCATCTGCATTGCTTAAGTAGTGGGGGGAAAAAAGGTAAAGGGGATCAGCAGGCTTCAGAGCATGGGAATCTTGGGGAGCGTATGTGCGTTTGTTCTTGTATTGTGTCTTTCTCCCCTTAAACAGAATGGCTTTTGAGAGAAGAGATTAAACTCTTGTTCCACTCTTCCTCAGTGGAGCTTTCAGGTTGATCTTAGACTTCTGTTTAGTTACTTCAGCAAAATGCCCTTCAGAATTGAATGAAAGCAGTTCATAATATCTAGCTTTTGGTTTCAGGCCCTCTTTATATCAGCTTAGTGGCTTTCTGGTAGGCTTTCTTTAAAGTGTAGGGTTTATTTCAAAACTAATATTTTCAAAGTACAGTTTGTCATAGTGTGCACCTAATTTGGTGTTCAGTGAAGCTGTTTGTAAATATAGAAAGGACTCTTGTGTAAGAATAATAGTTACTCCCTGCTGTCAGCTGCTTATGTGGCTACTTTGGATATGCTAATACCAATAATTGAAATACACTCAATATCACACCTGAATATGGAGTTTTAAGAGGCTGTTTTCTTGAGGATTTGTCCTGAGAACTTGGTAAGTGCCAGTAGGGCAGGGATAAATTAAGTAGATTGGAGCCCGTTAGATTTCTTGCATCTCAATGAATTGTCTGGTGAAGGGAGGCTTGTGTCAGGTGCTTCCTGCATGATGAGGGGAAGCTTCTTAAATGTTGTAGTTGGTATGTTTCTCACTTTTCAAGCTGCTTCAGCTGCACAAGAGTTAACAAAATATGGTAAGATAGAACTGCTGTACAAGTATTGCCAAAATGTAATAGGCCTGTAGCTAGTTTGTAGTTGATGCCCATTGTCACGTCTGTCTCAAACAAAACAGAAATCCCTTCTCAAAAGCTGTTTTGTTACACTAAAATTGATCTGTTAAGTAATAGATCAGATAGTAGAAATACATTGAGATTATTCAGTGTTTCTCTTTAATTTTTTTTTCATTACAGAATGTTAAGCCTATTAGAAACAAAACTGATGGAGTGGAAAGATGGTAATTTTACAAGTTTCAATTTTTTTAGGCTCTTAAAAAATTGACATTTCTGAAAGACCTACTTGATTTGTACCTGAAAAATACAAAAGAGAGAATCACTCTTCACTGTGGGTAGGTAGCCACAGTCCTTGTGAATTACTATGTCTTTTTCTTGGCACACTAAGATGCACTGTATTAGTTTTGAAATTACTTTACAATCTGGCAGGAGTGCCATAAACTCTTGCTCCTTGCACACAGTCCCAGCTTGTGAACTCTGCAGGCATCCTTCCCTGCCCACTCCTGTTCTGCTGCCGAGAGAACCTTGCTTTTTCTTGCACTGGTCGTGTACTGAGTCATTGGATTACTTGCAGTTATTGAATGTCAGGTCATGTTAAATCTGGATCTCTAGGGCTTGAACAGTGAGAAGAGTCACTGAAGGGTTTTTTGCCTCTTAATGCAGAGATTAGTCTAATGGACTGTTGGAGGCTTCATTTAAGATTACATTAAGGTTCCCGCCATTGAGCATGATAGTTGTTAAAAGTCAAGAGTCACTAGAGCATATTTACATCCACTAAGCAAAGGGGCATGCAGTGTGAGTTTACTTAATTGCTATTTACTTTTATTAGCCTGCTACTTACTTTTATTAGCTGGATTTTTTCATTTTTGCATTTATTGCAGAAGCAAATTCACAAGCTGTGTAAGCCTACAAATTTTGGAACAGCTCTTTGGAGTGAAGTAACAAGATAAAACTATTAAAACCCTTTATGTAAGGGGGAAAAAAAGATGAGTGTGGATGTTTGAGGAATGGTGCTAGTCTGAGTGGTGTTTATTCTAGAATTCATTTTGTGGAAATTTTCATTTTAGTAATCTTAAGTTGTAAACAACTCTTTCCCAAACTATAAGGCCAATGTTGTAATTTATCCCTTAGTATCATTAGCACCCAGAAATGACATTTCTGTGTACAGGTTTTGCCTTCATTTGCACCTGCGCTACTTCATGGCCTGCTGGTGTTGTGAGTGCAAGGCTTCAGCTTGTAGGTGTCATCTGTACCTGCTAGGCTGTTGCACTTCAGAGGCTGAGACGAGCAAACCTCTCCACTACAACTGGAAGTCCCCTTAAGCTTTCCCTGCTGTCATGCACCAGAGCTGGGTGCTTTGTATTACTTTGGTGTTTTCTTCCTTGATGTGGTGGTCTTGGAGTAGTGATGAACTCTGCTGTGAGGAATACCATAGAGGAGGCAGCAGTAGGTGCTGCTTCCTGATTTGTGCACCACAGCTGGGAGGGAGCTCACGAACCTGACTGGGCAGTGCAGATGCTGCGGAGGGCTGCATCAGCACTACAGGTTAACTGAAGCTAAATGTAATTTCTCTTCGGCATGGCTGACTGAAATGCTTTTCAGGGCTGAAGATATCCTGTGACCTACTTCTGCTTGGAAAGGATTTACATATGGAAAGGTCCCTTAATTTGAGCACAGTATGCTAGAGCACCCACTCAACAAACTGCTTTTCAGGACTCCTGAAATCTATTCAAGCACCTACTGCTTTTAAGCAAAAGAAATCAAAGATCCAGAATTTTACTACAGTGGTACAGTTGCAGGTACTGTCTTGGTGAACGAAAGTAGGGTTTCTATTGTTGGATGGGGTTTGTTTGTTTTCCTGAAGGGATAGCAAATGTGGCTTTTTTGATAAAAGCTTGCAGGTAATTTAGGTCTGGTTTAGGCGAGAACTGTGTCCCATAACAACAGCAGCTTGGGATTGTGATCTGGTGGTAGCAGTCATTCAGTGAATGCGTTACAGAATCACAAAGGTAATAACTGTCATTGTGTTGTCCCTGAACTCAAGTAGCAAAATAGGAATCTAAGTGCTGTTTTTATTCTTTCCCATGGACAATGAGGTAAGGGAGAGGTTTGGGGATTTCTTTCTACTGGCTAAATGGCTTATGGAGACAGAGAATTCTAAAATGGTCAATGATATAATGCAGTTGGAAACCTTTCTCTGTATCCCATGGCAGTGGCTCAGAGCCACTCTGAAGCTGAACAGACTGGAATTGCTGTTCAGAATAGTTATTTAACTACCTAATTCTCCTCACATCCCTGCCCTCCCTGCACCATCCTTTTTAGGTGGTAATGTTTGTCAATTTGAAAATTGTAAACCAGCCAGCTAGCTCATCCTTAAATTGGGAGATTAACCAACAGATCAGCTAGAGACCCCTGTGACAGGGTGGCTTGACCTGAAGGAGTAACAAGGGGTCCTGATAGTTTAACGCCCGTTTCAGCAGTGATGCCCTTTCTTACCCATTCCTCCCCTCAGTTAATCACTGACAAATTGAGTCTTACTGAGAGCTGGAATCCTTAATGACTAAACCCCTCCTCACTGCACTTTAATCTGTGATTGGTATTTGACCTGATAAGTATTTGGACTTCTGGTTTTAAATGCCAGAGGGAAGAAGTCTTTTCTGATTCCTCACTTTCTTAAGGCATCTGTAATGCACAGCTGTACATGGTGCAAGCCCCTGGGTGTCAGTCTGAATGCATTCATGCAAAAGTCGTGATGTGAAACCAGCATCAAACACTTGGCTGGCCAATATATTGTTTGAAGTGGGAAGCTGAAGGTACTTTTCACTGAGAAAGACAAACTGTTCCACAACATATGGCATACCACTATGTGGTCCTCCGTGAGGACAGACGTCTAGACATCAAGTACAGTGTAGGTGTTTGGTATGTTTAAAAAAAAAACCCGCCCAAAACACAACAAAATACAATATGGGAGGGCTGGTCTCACTTGAAGCTGTAAAATATGGAACTTGCAGTTGTCTGTCAGTTACTGGATATGTAATCTAGTATACTACTAAGACTCACAAGATGATCTCATGAAGTCACTGTATTTGCTTGCTTGTAAGAGAATTATGCCTAAATCTGCAGTGATGGAACTAGGTCAGCCCCACAGGAGATTTTGTTCTGATGCCAGGTGGAGCCGTGTACCATTTGTCCTTCTTATGGTAATTTTTTCCCATTGCTTTCTTCAAGACTCAGCTAAGGCAAGATACAGAATTTTTAATGTGTATGTTGAAGTGATATCAGCAGAGAACACTTCCAACTATTAGGTCTGATGTTTGCAGTTTACTCCCAAAGCAAGGCAGGCTCAATGGGGACAATTCCTTCTAAGGTCATCTCTGTGCCCAAGTTGTGAAATAAATTACAAGGTCAATATGCTGTTGGTAGAGGGATAACAGACAAGGTTGTCTTAAAATAATCATTTTAATTAACTTCTTCTAAAATAACTGGCCTGCATATTAATGATGTCCTTCATTAATTAGGTAGCACTAAAATACTGCGTTGAATAGTCTGTTGTAAGGGAGAAGAGAAATTCACTTGTTATTTCAGGGGATTTTTTTCCATTTCCCTCTCAGACTGAAACAGACCTTGCCAGGCTCGAATGGGAACAGGAGGGTACTGTTGTTTCTGTGTTAAGGTTTGCCACTCTCAGTCTGCCTGGATGCTTTTCAGTTGTAATTATGTAGATATGACGAATGCTAAGTGATAGAATGAGACCACTTAACTATGATAGGTTCCTGAGGCAGCCAGTGCTGAGTGAGGGAAGTCATGTTAAGTTGCTTTGGGACAGTTAGACAAGGACAGAATCGCCCAAGCACACAGAGCTGAGAGCATTCTCAATCTTTCAGCACATATCAAATTCGGCACCTCCTTTTTTCTCACCCTCTGCCTTTTATTTCAGGTAATAGTCAAAATCAGCCTTGTGTTCCAGTGAACGGGGAGGGTGGGTGTTATAGCAATTGAGGGAGCAGTTTTAACGTTGCCTTTTATTTCCTTACACTGTACGTGAGTAGTCTATGACAGAAAACTGGTAAAGTTAAGAATGAGAAAAAAGATGACTGGAGATGCCAGAACATGTTTATAGGAAGATAACCAGATCAGCAATTGCCAAACTCACTAGGTGTGTCCACTTGCTGTGATGGATCCTCTCTGTCTGCTCATCCTAGTAATTGTAAAGGAACTGGAGATGCTTGAGACTCGTTAACAGAGCTCCAGGAAGAGGGAATGGTAACATGAGAATTTAATACAGTGAAGCATCTAGTTCTGCTGAATGAAGATTCAAAACAAAAAAGCTTGCTCCTGTAGGAAGCATTTTTGCAGAACTGCTTTAGCAAAGCATTGTGTTCCTTTAAAGAGGATTTGGGGCTGATTCTGAGCATGAGTAAGTGTAAGTGCTGAGGAAAAAGCAAATTATGAGTGTACCGCTGAAGAGAAGATGCTGCTATAATAAAGTTCAACTAGCCACAGGCATGTAAGCCATGTTTGCTTCTGAGACAGCATCAGAGAAAAAGCTTCTGTTGGAAATGTATATACCATGAACAACTGTTCCATTTTTCCTGTGCAGGAAAAATACATGCTGATAACCTGAGCCCACTGCAGGTATGTTTTTAGAGAACTTCCACTGAAGGGTTATCAGCTATATCACCTGTTTAAAAGTCATTTTGGAAAGGTTGATGACACATTAGTTAACTTGTTCAACTTTATACTGAAAATCAGTTTGCATGAACAGGTCACCTAACTCACTGAAAATTATTTCTTTAGGTTGAGGAATAATGGCCAGTATATATAGCGTGCGAAGATCCGGGGAAGGTCTTTCCACCTTCCAGCCTGCGCATTGGATTTTTTAGGTGAGACACAGTGTGCGCGGAACTGAGCCCACCCTTTAATCCTAAGGTTCATCTGCCGGGACCAAGCGAGCTTGGACGGTGGCAGCGAGGTCCTTAGGACGTAGATGGGTTGCCTTTAAGGGCTAACGAGCCCCACCTGCCCGGGAGTGGCCCTGACCGGGAATCGAACCCGGGTCTCCGCGGTGATAGCGCGGCGCCTTTACCACTAGACCACCAGGGGCTCCAGGTTGAGGAATACACAACAAAAAAACCCCAAGTGCACATTTCATCACAAAAGTCAAATGACTAAAGACAATGAGTCAAATTCTACGATGTGCTCTTTACTTGCGTAGATTAGCTTTTTCAAATCTCCCGCTAGGGGAGAAAGACATGCCCTGCATATGTAGCATTGCTGCTTTTATTGCAGTTTGATAGCCTTGCCATGTGTAGTTTGTTATCAGTTTGAAGAAAGCAGTTAAGGCTGTCAGGAACAGCGCACGAGGAGCCCAGTCTTCAGCTGATGAACAGCAGCTTAACTATCACATTCAACCCAAGTCAGACGATCTACAGCCTCTGCCTGGCCAAATGTCACCAAATTTATTTTGATACATTTCTAGCATGCAGCTGATGAGTTTTAAACAAATATAGCCAGAATTTCAGGTAGGTAGAGGTGAAAAGCCCATATGATATAACTGCATTTTTACATTCAGGAATCAGAGGGAGATGATGACATCTGAGGTGAGTTTGTGTACAAAGGTTCCACTACATCCTCTCAAGCACATCACGTTGGCAAGCTTTTACTCAGTGCAAAGAGGTTACAAACCCACAAAATAATCTTTAAAAAGGTAGTTTCAGAGTACTTTATTGAGTACTTTTGAATTTGTTACAGCATCAGTAAATGAACATTTTGCATTAGCCTGCTTTACACTTTCAAACCAGTTTTGCACTATAAGAACTCTGTACTATCATCTTACAGAACAAGTATAGTTTATAAGCATACATAGTGGTGTTTGAGCATGACTGTAACAGGCCAGAAGACATGGCTACTTTGTCACATGGCACCAAAGGGAAAGAGAATGGATCTCTTAAAACTGTTATGCTGGTAAAACATATGGCTGTTCCAAAGGCTCTTCCCTTCTGCTACCTTGACCAAAAAAAAAAAAGCCAAATATATCCCTATGCTATTACACTCTGTTGTTCATCTCAAAATAGGCACTAGTTTTAGGCTTGTAGCAATTCTGGTGGTAATTTAAAAATTCATTATGGAAGTGAGACAAATTCACTTTCTACAGAATAACACAATTTTGTGCAGGTATCTTATTTAAGTGAGAAAATAATAATGACATTCTGAAGTCCAACATTATTATTTACATTATGTTCTTATATTAATGTTCTAGGAACTTTGTGTGTCTGCCTTGTGCAATTAACTTTCCTGTTGCCTTATTTGTTAAATCCACGGTAGCAAACGCAAGACTTCTTCCTTGCTTCAGAATCTGAGCTGTAATCAATATCTCTTCTCCAATCTTAGCAGCAGAAGTGTATCTTGAAGGAAATAAAAGATGAACAATTAAAAGAGGTTGTGTACAGGACAAATCCAAGAATATTCCTGCATTTTAGATTATCATGAAGGGAATTAGCAAAAGTGGGTAATAAAGACACATGTCTCTAACTGCCTGCTTGCAAATCCTCACTGCTTAAAGTATTTGAGCTCCTCTGAGTACTGCCAGTGGAAGCAAGTATAAGAGTTCTCAAAAAAAATGGAGGCTAAAAGAAATCCATTGGCTTGGTTTTGAGGAAAAGTCCATTTTGGAACTGAAACAATTAGTATCCAAGACCTCAGTTAAAAGTTCAGAGCCAAGTCCTATTCCAACCACTGCTGGCTCCCTAGAGTCTTTCTGAATTAGTCCGGCTGATTCAGCTGCAAAATATCATTGTTACAAAAGCTCCAGAAGGTCATTTCTGTATGGAACCTAAGTATAGGTTAACTGTTTCCCATACCCTGGTTAGAGGAAGTCATGGAAATCTGGGCAGCCTTCAAATGCTGTTTCCATTCATTAGATAATTCTTTGTTTTTATTTACATGAGCAGGAGGGTGTGCTTCTAAAACGCACTTCAGAGAATAGGAAGAAATTCCTCCACAAAAAGCCTGGAAATGATTAGGAGGAACATGATCCAATCATGATCTGAGGTAAGGGAACAATATTCAAATGTTAGAACTACAGAGCAGAATGTGGAATTATTGAGAGAAATTTCATCAACCAGTCCATTTTTATACATGACACCATGTCACAAGTATGTCAGTCATGCCTAATGCTGACCTAACACGAGCTCTGTTAGTTGACAAGGGAAGGGTTTCAGCCTCGTCTCACTCCCAGAGGCTGCTGCTGATCCTCTTGTGGTTACAAAAAAAAAAAAAAAAGTTTCTCTGTTTCTCTCTGTTCTTTCCATTACTAAAATAGCTATCTCGTGACAACTTTTTTAAAAGCTCCTTTCCCAAAAAGGAAAAAATTGTCTTATAGCAACATTCAATATCCAATATTACTTGTTCGATGAAACCAGTAGTCCAGATTAGACAAAGCTATTAATACTGCTTCATGTAACATTGCCTAAAAGTGATTTCGGATGACCTCCAAGAGACAGCACCTTCCTAAAATTTTAGCCCTTATGTAACTGGGTAGGCATACTTGATAGTGTACGTAATTCAGATGTCAGATACGGGGAAAAACCCGTAATCATAGGAGAATTTCAGGCTGTAATTTCCAATAAGATCCTAGTCATCACAGCAGCAGTATAAAACTTAAATAGAGGCTTCAGTCCCATCTGCCCAGTGGACAAACCAGAAGGTGCTGGGGGAGAAAGGAGGGAACCTTATGAAGATACAGATCACTCCCCATACAGTTTTAAGGCTTGTGTGTTTTTTTTAAAGACAGTTTTGAAGAGGGGTTACTTTTCTAAGATTTTTAATGCTCTGTGTTAGTTATTCCAAGTAGGATTACTTTAGTTCCGATCAGTCATAATATCTTCATTAAAAGTAATGAAGCAAAGCTGACAAGCTATAATAGCATGATCAAAGAAAGTTTCAGAAAAACTATTTTTTAAAGACACTGTGCTTCAAATTTGCATTACAGGAAGAACTGTTCCCAGTATAAAACTACCTTGAAATGACCTAGAGCAAAGGAATCTTCCTCCACTGATAAATTCTGACTCAATCTGTAATTCACCCTGTATATGAGCACACAACAGAGCTGAACTGTTTCTTGTTTTAATACTTTCTCTGGTTTAACATTTAATGGACTAATACTAAAAAAAGGGTTTATAGAAAGCTGCTTACCCTAGATCTTGGTTTTTGAGGAGACATGAACGTATCTACACAAGCAAAGACTGAAGCTGAACCAATTTCTTAAGACTTCAATTGACAGCATATCAACATACCTTTACATTCTATGAATGAATGGACACTGTCTCTGAAACACATGTAATAAAAGCTTAAAAAAGTCCAACTCAAAATTTGCAATCAAATGCCAATGTCTCCAAATGTACATCTGCCTCCCCTTAATTTATCAAAACAGGACTTCCGAAACCAAAGAAAACACCTGTTTCAAGTGGGTGCCACAGCACAGAAATGATGTGCAGTGGACACAATGTGGGAAGAAAAGTTCATATGTTTTAGTAAACATGGTGAATGATACCTACGAGATGTTCATGTCCACACTGACTCCAGGTGTTGCTCTTTCTGTGTAGAGCAATGCTGCTGTTGACACTACATCCACGAGTGTGGCTGTCAAACCTCCATGTAATGTGCCAAATCTGTTGGTATGTTCCTCCTCTACTTTCATTTCACAAACAACGTTTCCAGGAGTTGCAGAAACAAGTTTCATCTGTATAACCAAAAAAGGAATAAAAAGCTTACTGACCATAGTACCAGCATCTAATATCACCCTGAATCCAAATGAAAGGAGATCTTCTTTAATTCTGGACTCATGAGACAAAAGATGGAAAATACAGTAATTCAACTGTCACATTAGGTATTTCCATAAATTTTGAACAGAAGACTATCGCTTTAGAAAAATTTGTATTTCTAGTGCAGACAGCTTAACAAAATTTCAAGACTTTCCATGCTGTCAGGAATTCCTTAGGAGGCAACATTCTTCTTAAGTTTTCCTTTTGCTTTAACCTGTGAGTGAAAGGCCAGATTAGAGGGAACACAAAACCGCTCTGTGTGTACCACAGTTGCAAAGGCATATTTGTTGGCTCACAAAATAGGAACAAGACAACCAGTAATTCATTAATCATAGAGCAACCTCAGTAAGAATCAGTATTTTGAAATGAGCAATGGAAATACTAATCAGATTGGCCTCTCTAATCAGAAATTCCTATTCTTGGGTAGAAGTATCCAAGACCGTATCACAGTGTTATAGCATCATTATTTGCATACACAGTTTTATTCCTCCTCATAGGTGTTAAATACAGAATTACACCTCTGGTACCATGCTTTCCCCTGTAACCAACACATGAAGCTGGAATTTTGAGACCAAGAAGTCACTGCAATTCAGTATTTTAAAATCTCTATTCAAGTTTCCTCAGTTAGTAGCACTATCTTCAAAGTCTGAAAGCAGATGAAAAACTGGGCTAAGTTCAGCATATGTATTTACTCCTACAACTTTAGACTATTAAAAGTGAAATGAGGACATATTTATTATGGTTCCTACTAATTTTAATTTTTTTAAAAGCCTTTTCTTAAACTTACATATTTCCATCGTGTTATCATCTGAGTTGATCTAAGTATTTTTTAATCTAAAAAGGTATTAAGATTGAAATGTCTCCAGTTTCATTATTCCTTATTTATAATGCAGTGTAAGACCTCAGTGTTAGCCAGTGTCCCTTTCTGATAAGCCAAAGTTTATTCAAATTTTGCAGAGAAATAATACATCATCAATGATGACGTAGTCTATGAATGTCTATGAATGGAAAAAGCTGAGATTAAACAGAGGGGAAATCACTGAGGCAATGTTCTAATATAGAAATAGCACCTTGATCAATGAAAATCCCAAGTCCTACACCAGGCATGCTGTGCTGCACTCACTGGAAGCCTAAGTTTCTGACAGAATTCCTAATGAGGACTTCACTGACGCTTGACACTGGGAGCAGATGGCTTCCACTTCTGTCAGGGAGTGGGGCTCCAATCCACCTGCAAGGCAAGGAAAGGATCTGGTTCCATTTGCCATTGCTCTGATCTGGCACTAGGTGCCTGCTGTCCTTGACAGAAATAGTTCAGTACTTGAGTGCTTCCAGGACCTACACAGCTATAGCTGCTGCTCTGTACTTCTCACAGCCCTCCTGTGCTTGTCCTCCCACTCGTCTGCCTCAGGGAACAGCACACTGCTTCAGCTTCCAGCCACTCTTGCCATGCACTACTTCTTTGCAAAAAGGGCTTTAAAACTCACAGTTGTTGAGCCCTTGGTAGATGCCACATTGGAGTTAAACCAGAAACCAAGTCTAATGCTGGAGCTGAACCATTTCAGATGAAAACCTGTCTTCTCCAGGATAGGAAAAATCTTGAGCCATTTAGTTATGGTAAGAGAGACTTCAGGTACCTCCTAGAAAAACAGCAGCTACTTTCAATTCAAACACAACTGTACTTTGATTCTTACTATGATCAGGTTAATGTCATTGTAATTCTAGAAGACTGAAGGAAAAGTCTAAAGGTATTCCAGAGCAAGGAAGGAAGCCTGTCTCCCAAAGCTCACTTCCAGACAGTTAGTTACCTTTATGAGCTGAAATGCTGAGTTTGCTCTCCACTTCATAGGATTTTAAGGTAAAGGAGTAAAAAGATATCACAGGGAAGAGGTGACTAAAAACTAACTGGACTCTTTATAAATAAATGACCTTCTTAAACATAAAGCTTTATACTTTTTTTTTTAAACTTCATACTCCCCAACATATCTTGGAGAAACATGACAGTAAGAATTGCTTTGCAAATAATTGGTTTCTATTGGATGTATCAGATCATGGAGCTGCCAACAAAACCATTGCTTCCATTATTACATTTGCTCCTCTACAATGCAAATCATATGAATTTTTACATGGTTTTTTTCTTAGATATATTTACTGCATCACTTCATGTCACAGTTACACAAATAAATAGAAATTCAATGGAGAAATGTAGCATTGCAAAATTTAATGAAAACACTGAAACTGCTTCACAGGACTGCTCTACACAGCAGCTACACTACCACACACTACACAGTTTAACAAAACACAGTAACTTTACGTTTTTTTGAGCACAATGTACATGTAATACACATAACTGTACATATGATGTACAATTAGTGTACGTATAATACACCTAATTGTGTCTATAAGGAGGAGGAAGTCATTACAGCAGTACCAGTCAAATACATTCCTTTATACCAGAAGGTATTAGTCTAGGGCCTTGTGCAGAAACTCGGAGAGCACTGAGGTATAGCTTATGTTTTCAGCCTGACTTCAGGGTTAGGTGCGAGATGTCACAGTGAGCTCCCTTTTTATTTTTAAACAGGGAAGAGTAATCGTTTATGTCATAATTTCACAGTCCTGGAAGAAGAATGCCAGCTACTGAATGACTCCTGAAGGTTATTCAGCACAGTCCTCACCTTCAGAGAGCTGCTGGAAGGCAGCTGGAGTATCTAACGAGACCTACTGAAGAACGATTGTGTTTTCTACCCCGTGTTACCACCACGACCACACGCCCCTGTTCCGAGACCTCGAACCCGGGGAAAACGCCGGCAGACCTGCAAAGCCGTGTTCCCGCCGTGCCCGCAGCCCCGCCTCATCCCGATCCAGCCTGACATTCCGGGAGAGAACGGCGTTGAAGCGAGCAGCCCGGCCGGACGCTCTCCCTGCCTCCCGAGTGCCCGTACCTTGCGGAGCACCCGGTCGAAGCCCTGCGACTCCAGCATGTACTTCATGGCCTCCCTCAGGGTTTCCACCGTGAGCCCCATGCTGCCGCCCGGCCGACCGCTGCCCGCCCGCGCCCCGGAACGGCAACCCCGGCGGGCGGTGCTTCCCGCCGCCTTCCGCCATGGAGGAGACGGCGGAGGCAGAGGGGCGGCGGGAGGAGCTGGCCGAGGCACCTCAGAACCCACCGCCGGCGGCGCGGGAGCGGGAGGAGGAGGAGGAGAAGGATGAGGAGGCGCTGCACGTCGCCAAGCGGAGGAAGGTGCTGTGCTCCGAGTTCGCCGCCATCACCAGCAGCCACGTGGCTGTGGCGCGCAGCTTCTTGGCCGGCAGCGACTGGCACATGGAGGTACGGCCGGGGCCGGCGGGGCCGCGGGGCTGCCCGGCGGGGGCCCCTCGCTGCCAGCCGCCCCTGTGTTTCAGAGGGCGCTGAACGCCTACTTCGAATCGCCGCTGGAGACGGAGGGGGCGGCACTCGGGGCGGCCTCCGCGGGCTCCGGCACCTGGTAGGTGACATCGGGGCAGGGGGGCATGTGGCATGGAGGCATGTGGTAAGGGGGCATGGAGGAGGTGGGTCCGAGCTGGGGGGAGCGGGGCCTCCCCGGATGGAGGCAGGTTCCCCTCCGCGGGAAGGCGATGGGAGCCCCCGTGTGGGGAGGGCCATCCCCGGGTCGTGGCCTAACCCGGGGAGCATGGCATCGCACCTCGGGGGAAAAGTGCCGAGACAGGTAGTTCTGTGTCTTTTTCCGCGCTGTTCTCGTCGTTTCCCGACGTTTGTCTCGCCTTGAGAGGCTGCCGGACTTGCGGGCTGCACTTTCTCTCTGTGGATGCTTCGGCCACCTTCCTCTGGGCTGGTGGATTGCGAGCCTTTTGGAGAAGGGACAGGCTCTTTTTCTTCTCGTTATCTTGTGCAGCAATACATATGCAGATTTTACTGTACACACGCACATTTGTATACGTGTTAACTATGCATATATGTATTATAATAGATGTATACATATTTATGTCTCTATAAATAAAATCGACGTGTGCATGCACACCTTGTTAAATGTACCTGTGGAAGTTAAGATGTAACATCTGTCTTATACGCACACTCTCACAGCACACCACTAGGCCATACAAAAGGTATCGAACTGCAAGTGGAATTGAATTTTCACATGTCTCTACCTGTCATGGTTTAACCCAGATGCCAGCTAATTAGCATGCACCCATTCACTTGGACACCCTCACATACCACCCAACCCCCCCCTACAGTGGTGTGGAAAGAATTGGAAAAGAAGGTAAAAAACATGCGTTGCGATAAAAACAGTTTTATGGTTGAAATAAAATAAATAATATTAATTGTAATGAAAAGGAAGACAACTAGAGAGAGAAATAAAATCCAAGAAGGACAAGTGAGGCACAATACAGTTGCTCAGCCCCCCACTGACTGATGCCCAGCCCATCTCCATACAGCAGTTGGCCCCTCCTGGCCAATTCTCACCAGTTCATACACTGAACATGATGCTCTATGGAATGGAATATCTCTTTGGCCAGTTTAGGTTAGCTGTCTTGGCCATATTTCCTCCCAGCTTCTTATGCACCTGCTTGCTGGCAGAGCATGGGAAGCTGAAAAGTCCTTGTCTTGGGGAAAGTGCTAGCTAGCAACAATCAAAACATCAATGTGTTGTCAGCATTATTCTGTGCTGGATTTGCATGGCAAGGTTTTGATTGTGGGGAGCTGCCGGAGTGGCTTCTGTAAGAAGACACCCAAAGCTTCTACATCTGACAGAGCCAGTACCAGCTGGCTCCAAGATGGACCTGCCATGGAACAAACCTGAGCCCATCAGTGATGGTGGTAGTGCCTCTGGGATAATGTATTTAAGAAGGTTAAAAAGCTGCTGCACAACAGTAATTGCAGCAGAAGAGAGAACTGAGAATATGTGAGAGAAACAGCCCTGCAGACACCACATTCAGTGAAGAAGGAGGGGCAGGAGGTGCTCCAGGGGTCGGAGCAGAGATTCCCCTGCAGCCCTTGGTGAAGACCATGATGATGCAGCTGTGCCCCTGCAGCCCATGGAGGATCATGGGGGAGCAGAGATCCACCTGCAGCCCTGGAAGGACCTTATGCTGGAGCAGGTGGATGCCTGAAGGAGGCTGTGACCCCAGTGGAAGCCTGTGCTGGAGCATGCTCCTGGCAGCACCTGTGCCCCCATGGAGAGAGAAGCCCATGCTGAAGCAGGTTTGCTGGTAGGCCTTGTGACCCCGTGGGGAATCCACTGTGGAACAGCCTGTTCCTGAAGGATGTGCGGAAAAGAGTGCGAGCATGAGGAAAGAGTTGAACTACTCAGGTGCTTTGGATTACGTTGGTTGTCATCTGATTGACTTAAATCAGAATGGTAAATGTTATTTTGTGTCTATAAGGAGGAGAAAGAACCACTTACTTCACCTGTGTACTACAGCTCTGTATGACTGGGGTCTGTATGTTTTAGTTACTGCACTTATAAATTATGTTGAGATCAATACATGCTTTAGAGGATAAGGGAGGTAATTGCAGAAAGAACAGTATTATGCATGTTGACAAATAAGTAAACTCTCTCTTTAGCATTGACCTCACAGCAGATGCAACTACTAGTAATGCCGGTGTCAATAGTGGAGACCCAGGGCAAAAAGAAGATGACAGCAACTTCTCACTGATAACCTGGAACATTGATGGTCTGGATCTAGGAAATCTGAAAGAACGAGCTAGAGGGGTCTGTACATACCTGGCACTGTAAGTATAGCTTCATCTTCGTATTGTCATGTACCCGGATTTAAAGGAAATAAAAAAGCTTCTTGATTTAGAGATATACAAATCTTCGTGCCCAAATTATCTTAATGTTAGATGCACAGTACAATCACTTTATAGACCCTAAGTAGCTGAAAGTTGATATACTGACTGGTAGAGGTGTGAACCTATGCAGATCCCAAAGGTTAAGAGTTCTGTGATGGCTACTTTAAAAATCTGTTAATGAACAATATTGTTCAGGTTGAAGTCACACATCAGGAACATCCTTTGTACTTGCATCGTGTACATAAGGAGAGTAAAACTGCAAGAAACTTTCTTGTCACATTCCAGTAGTATGAAGAACTTCACAGGAGAGCAAACCGTTTGAAACAACAAAGATTTTTGTAGTGAATTTTTTTCTCTTGCTAGGTAATGTTTAGTTGTCTATCAAAAAAAGCAAATATGCAAGATAAAAGCAATAGAATCTGTGATTTATCGTTTATAGTTCTGTCAGTGAAAGACTACCTTGAATATATTTATGAGCAATTTAAAAGTTCATTGATTTATCTTAGTACAGTAACTTATCAGTGTAAATTAAATTATTTAAACGTGGTAATTTCATCTCAAAACAGCAGAAATCCCTTAACTAAATCAAGTGAGAATTGATTTAGTTAAGCTGGGGTGACAGTATTTTTCTTCTGTAAGTAAGGCCTTAGGTTTGTCCTTCACCTACGTAGAGCAGGGCTATTCAGCAGTGTAGCAAAAGTAGGGACAGCTGTAAAATAATGTCTAAATGAGCATTTTCAGGACTGCTACCCCATGTGAACTGTTCCTGATTGCACAGCTCTAAGAAATAAAAGACCTTGTCATCATTGAGACTGGCACAAAATGAACTGAAGGTTACCTGAGGGGATCTGTTGTAAGGGAGTAAGGTGGTGGTTGGAATCTTCTGGAGGACATGTTCCAGAGCTGCTTTGCAGCAGCTTAAGTTGAATTCCCTACATGTATATAGTATATGAAACCCATGCAAACGTTTGCAAAGTCATGATATATAGTGGTGATGTGTCTACATGCTACTAAATATGATGGAAATTTTTTTTCTTTATTTAAAGAATATATTCTTACAGTATCTAAGAAAATGAGGGCGAGGTGCACCTGAAATCTCTGACCCTGTTCAATTTGGCCTTAGAGTGTAGCAGTACTATCTTTCAATAATTAATTGAAAATCTTGCCTTGCTGTTTTCAGATACAATCCAGATGTTGTGTTTTTACAAGAGGTCATCCCACCACATCTCTGTCTTCTACAGATGAAGGCAGGCAGTTACACTATTATTCCAGGTAAGAAAAGCCCCTCAGTTTTTAAAGACAAAAACCAGAAAATGAAGTTTGGTTTTATTCTGTCTCCCTTGCCAAACCCTTCAATGATTTGTAGGAATATAAAGAGTGAAGAGAAGAAGGAAGCACTTAAATTATTTTCTGTGTTTTGATACCAGCATATAGCTTGATGCAAATTACGCATGTCTAAAGCTTGCTTGCCTGATGGTTTCCTTTGTATTTTTTCTGCATTTTGAAAGACTGATAGCAAGTGCAGCCAAAAAGTACCATAGATAAGTAATTTCATGAAAATTTGCATTTAAAAAATCTGAAAAATTCAGACCCCTATTATGCGGCATTTCTCTAATGACTTTGTACAATTTAATGTTGATTCTCACAAGTCGTAGTAATAAGGTCTTTTTCAGAACCTTAACTTATTTATGATACAGCACAAGATATCCTCAAACATTTCTTTCCCTGGTTCTCCTTAGGTAACATAGATGAGTATTTCACTGTCATAATGGTAAAGAAATCAAGAGTGAAGGTACTGAAACATGAGATAATACCTTTTCCAACAACTGCCATGAAGAGGAACCTTTTGGTTGTGCATGTGAGTGAGTCAGTATGTACTAAACAGCTGTATTTCTGCCTTCCAAACAAAAAATCCCAGGAAATGCTGAACTGGCTTTTTCTCTTCAACGGTCTCAAACAGCAGAAAAATTTCTTCTCCTAACATATGCAACTCCATTTGCATTTGATACTAACAAACGTCAAAGTTTTAGCAAAGTTACTTACCGTACTTTGTTTTCAAGTCTCATAATCTCTGAAAACAAAAGCCAGTTATCCTCCTGTAAGCCACTTTTCTTCAGTGTGAAACTGATATTAACCAGAGCTCTGTCATTCAGTAATTTGCTTTGTGATTAGATTTGGCTTTGAACTTCTTATCATGGTTTGGATAGTAACATTGCCTCTTTGTTTGACACA